TCCGAGTCAAATGACTGTTTCAGCAAAAGTTAGGGCATAGACTGTGCTTTCCTCTAGGGCTGCCGTTCTGCACTCTGTCAAACAGCCATTGCCTTCCTTATTAACTCTTAAAGCTGTTTCTCGGGGTGCTTATATAATCATGAGAGAACTGATAAAATGTGCTTTTGTGCGTGGGTCACACAGCAAACTGAACTGCCTTTGAAGTAATCCGACTGGATGAATAAAATTGTAGTTAAGAAGAAAAGCTTATAAAAATGATATGATTCCTTGAGGAAATGTTGGAACTGTGGAGCTGCGATGGTTCATTTCAGGTGGAAATTTAGGATTTTTCTTATGACAATATTTGACCGTGATCAAACTTGAATATACCATTGCTACAAGTATCCAAAGTCATCGAAGGCAGATCTTGCAGATCACACAGATTTTCCTTGCAGTGGCTTATAAGGGATAATTGCCTCACACCTGTCTCCATGTCTATTGGACGAGTGATGTGCTTTCCTGTCTTGTTGTGCTAACAACAAAATATGTTAGCAGTGTTGTTCGGGCTTGACTTGCAGGCACTGGCTGTCAACGGAAAGGCAGGCTTCTACGAGGGTCGTGTGGCGCAGGCCATTGTGGATGTCGTGAGGGCCCATGGGGGTACCCTGACACTGCAAGACCTGAAGACGCACACCAGCACCCTGGTGGAGCCGATCTGCACCGACTACAAGGGGCTGAACGTGTGGGAGATCCCACCCAGCGGACAGGGGATAACCACGCTGATGGGACTGAACATTCTGGAAGGCTTGGACCTGAAAGGTGAGGGGTCAGCCTTTTTGGGGGGCAAGGTTGGTATAGTGGTACTTTTCTTGTCTTCCACCCCTGCAAGCTGAGGTTCAAATGCCACCTAGATCAGCATGATTGGGTTTTCAGTCCTTCCCTGATTCCATGGGCTTTCCCTGGAGTATTTATGTGGGGTTTTTCTCTCACCTCTAAAAACTAAACATTTCTTCATTCTTGTCTTCATTGCACTTTGTAATCATTCTGTAACAGGCACTTAATGCCCTGTTGGATGAACGGAGTAAATATATTCCTTTTTTTTTTCCGTAAAGTGGCATCTATTTCATGCCAAGTCTTTTGATACAGAAAGAATACTGTCAGTGTTTTTTCATTACAAATATCCATTGTTGACAGACAGTGCTGTCAGTTGGTTACTTCACAAGTACTCACTGCTACTTCACTAGTAATCACAGGTGTTTACAAGTGCATCACAAGTACCTCAGGCACAAGAAAAGTCTTAAACTATTCATGTGTAACTGCAATAAATGATTCCTTTGTTATTGATGACTCACTGTTTGTAGCACAAGTACTTGTTATGGTATGTTTCAGGAATAGACAAGAGTGCTTGTGAAGTATTTGACTAAAGTATTGTTGGGTAGTTCTGTGAAATCTGTTCATGGGATTGTTGTCGTCTCAGATCAAGTGACTTCTGAATCCATAACAAAATTACCAATTGTTTGGAGATGTCTTTGTAAACAGCTTGTCCGGGGGCTTTTGACTTTTAGCAATGGTATGCATTGCAGTCATCTGAGATTCAGCTCAGCTGTCGCACATGTGTATGAATGTTCCTGGTCAAGGGAAGCATGGTGGTTGTAGATGTTCAGACAGAATTTTAAATCCAAGGCAGAGTGAAGTTAGATGTTCAGACAGAATTTTAAATCCAAGGCAGAGTGAAGTTGACGTTTTGACATGTGTTCCCAATATGCTGGCTGTTGCAGGCATGGGGCACAACTCGGCTCAGTACCTACACACCTTAATTGAGGCCATCAAGCTGAGCTTTGCCGACAGTCTGTGGTACTGTGCCGACACTGACCAAGTGGATGTTCCTGTAAACCAGTTGCTATCCAAGGATTATGCAGCCACGAGGAGAAATCTCATAGATCCCGTTAGGTGAGGCCTCATGGAGGGGCTTAGTCTGAACAATGCTACACTTTTCATACTGGTTGCTCACCAATAAATGTTTTTTTCGGACAGTGTATATTTGGAGTTGTCCGAAGGCTTGTGAAAAAAATTCACAAGCTTACTGGAATGGGACTTGAAGCCACGACCTCTTGTAAACGTCTCAGCACTTGACCACTGAGCTTGCTGGATTTGGCTGGCCAATTCGAATTAATGTGTGGCCGGTATTATGCTACCAACTACTTGAGCTTTGAAGCTTTTCATGACGAAGGTGGCAAGTTAAGTAAAAAGGATTGTGGTAACATCTTGCTAGGATATCTCTTTTGTGAGTTTGTGTGGTTCTAAAGACAACAGGAGGGTACCCAACGTTTCTCAGTGTCTCCTGATGGTGGACAGAAACATTTCTACCCTCCAGTTCTCTTCAGACCTACTCGTACTCACAAAAGAGATATCCTTGCATGGTGTTACCACAAACCTTTTTGCTCAACAAAATGTTTACAAAATGCGATACTTTGTTTGTCAGATTGCTCCTATTTTATAAATTGACTTCTGAATTGAGGTAAGCCAAAACTAGGAATTGATGCTCCACTTGCTGTATGGTGATATTGACCCTCTGGTGGCTACTCTAAGCAGGCATGCTACTCTAAGCTATTGATGCCGGAGTATTTCAGCCAGGCCTGCTGCCTTGTAAAGAGAGCCCGGATTGTGCAGTGTTTCGCAATTTTCTTTTATTCCCGAAACTGGCACAGTGGGCTGCTGGTGTCTTTTCAATAGGGGCCAGATTAGTGTGCAGCGGTATTGTATCGCTTACCACTGGAGTGCTGGAGCGCTTTTGTTCCCAGTGGTAATCCGCTCACACTGAATGCCACAAACAGTGGTATAATCTTTCAAAACAATGATGGATTTCCTCCTTCTTTTGTTACAAGGCCCTGCTCGTTTGTCCAATTTCGGGCAATGCGTATAAAACCAACGTCTCCGAAACTGGGCTCCCTGGCAGCAAGTGGTTCAGATGAGTTTGGCCTAAGCATTAATTGGAACAAAAAGTAGAAAAATCAGAAACTCTCATGCTTACTCCTTTTTTTATTTCCTTACAATGAAACATAAGCCTTTCACTTATGTGTGCTGTTCATGCTAATGTGCAAGTATTCTCACTAAGACAGTAACCTTTTGTCTGGCTTATATATGGACTTCAACCCCCTTTGGCATTTTGCAGAGCTCGAGAGGACTTTAAAAATGGTGAAGTCAAAGGTGGAGGGGACACAGTGTATTTGTGTGTCATGGATGAGCTTGGGAATGCCTGCTCCTTCATTAATAGTAACTATAGCCACTTTGGGACAGGTCTGGTACCCGAGGGCTGTGGCTTCACGTTGCATGTGAGTACAGACAGAAGTCAGTGCACTGGTCTTCGTTTTTCAGTTGCTGGGCCGAGACACATTTATGTGTTTAAAAGGCATTATCGCCAGAACCGGCCTGTGAATCAGCACGGGTGCCTATTCCATTCATTTGTACGACATTTACTGGTTCTGAATGACGTCATACTTTGGTACTCTATATTTTCTGTTAAATGATAGCATACCAGTTGTCATTAGAAACAAATGTGGCAACCCAATCTGCTTACGAGACGTGGGTATAGCCCAATATTGGCCTACGTTCAGAGGTTGTGCATGACAACCATCTTTCCGGTAACTGCTTTTGTCAAGGACGGATACCACAAATGTTCTACTCCTGTGTATCCCTGCGGGATAAAAGCTTTTTCCAGAAAAAATGGCTGCCTTGCACAGCCTCTGTTGCACAATTGAACATGCCCCCGATGTCTTGATGATTATTGTTTTCCTAGCAAAACATGACGTTCCTGCCTTTGTCTAACTAGGGTTTTTCTTAGCAGTTCTTTTACAACAGTGAAATTTCTGATTCAGCTTACCATGTGCAACCTTACAATAGCCAGTCTTTGGATGATACTATCAGTAACTTGGTCTTGTCCCCAGAATCGCGGCTCCAACTTCTCCCTGCAGCCGGGCCACCCTAATGTCATTGGGCCGGGCAAGCGCTCCTTCCACACCATCATTCCTGCCATGGTGACTGATGTCAAGACTGGTGACCTGCTGTCGACCTTCGGGGTCATGGGGGCGTTCATGCAGCCCCAGGGACAAATTCAGGTAGGATGCTCCTCCGCTCTTGGCATCTGGCAAGGGAGGGGTTTTCAAATCTCAGCTCTTTCCCCATCTTCGCGCTCACTTCTTTTGATTTAGTACCCCAGGTTGTGCCCCTTTAAACCTTGAGCAGATCCTTTTTCCATTTTCTTCCCCCAAAACATCAAATTGGTTATATGAGACAAAGGTTTGTAGTGTTTTCTTTTCGTTCAGAGAATGAAAATTTGAATCTAGAGGTAAATGGAGACGAAGTTGAGGTTTGGGAAAAAGGCATAGGTTATTTATTTTGCTAAAGGTGCTAGAATATTTTAGATGACCTTGTTTGCTGTTTATTTTTTGCTTTCAGAGTTCCAAATGCAGTGTTAAATCCAAAAGAAACCACTGTGAAAATGGGATCTCTGAAGGATGTAATTCCTATCAAATTTTGCTTCGCTTTGTTTTCATTGATTGTTACTCAGAAATTGTATTTGATTTTTCTGTTCTGGCTATGAGGCAGTGCAAAGCAGCAACAGCTGCCATACCTAACCGCAGGATTGACACTAGAAAGTTACTTGACAACTTGAATCAAGATCTCCAGGCAAACAGAACAACTTCACTTAATCAAACTTGTCACGTTGAGGGACACGCCCTGACATGACAAGGAAATATGGGCCAATGTCACAACATGTAGTTTAAGCTATCTCATTTACGACCTTCTCTTGCTTTGTAGGTTCTGTTGAGTATGTCTGAATTTGGTATGGATCCACAGCGGGCCTTGGATCAGCCACGACTCTATGTCCAAGTGAAGCAAAGCGGCTTCACAGGTAACGTGTGTCTGGAGGAAGGCTTCGGCGACGATGTCATTCATGAGCTGCGAAGCAAAGGCCACAATGTCGTGGGACCGGTGAAGGGATGGGACCGACGAGTATTTGGTAGGGGGCAGGTCATTGCCCGGGGCAACTGGTTCTCTGCCACCAAGCCCGGAGGTAAGTCGCTGCATGCAGGAAGTGACTTTCGAGGGGATGGGGAACCAGTTGGCTACTAGTAAAGCAGCTCAACGCTTTACTGCATCTCAGAATAAATCAGTTGTTATGAGTAACTCGTGGAAAATGGATAAAATGCAAAGGAAGAGCCCCCCACTGAAAAAAGTTAAGTGCAATCCAAGTTGATGATGGGTTTTTACATCACAGAAATAAGAGTCACAAGAGATGTGTAGCACCGTTTTTATTTGGGGCAAATGGTCTAGTCGTTCGTGTTTGTAATTTCTTACCGTAGGTGCAAGGCTCAGGTGTGACCTTGGGTTAGTAACCTTTGCTCCGCTCTCTCTGTATGCCCGGGAGTATTAATGGGTACCTGTGAGGGCAGAGAGGGTTTAATACTTGTGGTTGATTAAAACCTGGTAGTGGCCAAAATGGTTGGAGCAATGGTTGTATACCCCCAAGGAAGTGTACAAGCATCAGGCTGAGATGGTTCTGCAGTATGCTTCTCAGTTCAACGAGTAAGGTCAACGGTCGCAGGGGGGTGTTGAGAGTCTGTCGGTGCTGAAATGCCCCCCCCCCGATACCTCATGGTATTTTGGGTCATTTCTGTCGGTAAAAATTGGCATTATTTTGATCAAACTCTTTGTACCATCAGTATTAGCCACAATGAACAGGACCACCTGATTTTAGAAGGTGTTAGGTTGCATTTGCTGTGGGCGGCACCCTAATGCACAATTGGTGGTCATGATGTCTCCATTCAAACAGGTTAGGTAACGCCTATACGCGATCATGATTTGAAATTGCATAATGAACTTTCACTGCCTCACACTAAAGTCTTCAGTAAGAATTTTTGACGGTGTCATTTGGCATAATGTCTTTCTAGTGCCATGTCTGACACCATTCCAAATAAATGGCATTATTTGGAGCTCTCGGTAATTCTGTTTTAGTTTGCATAAGAAAGAGCAAAATGGCTCATTGTTTTGATATTCTGCCCAGTTTGTTATCCTGATGAGAATTTGCATTTGTGTTGTACAAGATTCTTGAAAAGGTTTTCAACTCAAAAGTGGCTGTGGCGACTTGTGAATCATTTTGATCATTTATTGATATACAATCACACATACTTCAACAAAATTTGTTAATTGACTCTTTCCAATGCAATAATTCTTTGATCTTGGGCGATGCATCGATTCTTCCCCCAAACGAAGATACGACCTCGGCATAACCTGTTGTGCTTCCACAGCTGTAATGTCTGGTTTTTGCATCCGGCAAGAAGTGAGAGTCCCAAGAGAGTTGAGGGGGCCAGAGGTTTTAAGAACGGAACTTGAGGTTATCCAATTCATCTCTTAAGCCTCTGCATGGCTTATTTCTGTTTAAATGTGCTCAACTACTAATCAGTATGCTGACAATACCGCAGTACCCACGGTCATTTAAAAAACTTCTGATTTCAAATTCCTGCCTCAAGTTTAAAATGTGATATAGAAAAAAATTCAGTAATTTGATTCAGGTACTCAATATATTTTGAAAATCTTTAGATATTACACTAAACACGACGATCATGGTTGCACAGTGCTTTTATGTCGCATTATATTGAAAAATCTATAATTTTTATAGTAAAATTACCCGTCATAAAGTATGATGTAAAGACAATATATATTAAATGATATAATACAATCATTTGTAGCACGAGCGAGTGACTCATTCTTGGTTGTTGTGTTATTTAATTTGAGAATAATTTTACAATACCAAAATATGATGATCTCGAATCCATGAATTGTCTGAGTGAACTTGACTTTGACACACACGGCGGAGTGTGGTCATTTTGTACATTTGCAGAGACAGTCTAATTCGACGAAGCGAATCATTACCTGAAAAAAAACAAAACTGGGTGGACTGCTACCATGCCGTCCAGTAAAATCTTTTATTTGCTTAGGCCGTTGTGTGAAATCGATCAACATAGGTCGGGTTTCCATACAAATCTTGGAGGTATCCGCTGCTATTTATGGCATCTTTGGTCCGAGAGCTAAAACGACTTATGAATTAAGGACAGAGGCCTTAAAATAGCCACCTATATTTAGAGCGGAGTTATGCCAGTCTTAGTGCAATTTGCCTACCGAGAAATTAGCTGACATCCTAAATGAATCCGAAAGGAGCTGAGGGTAGGGCGCGTCGGATGCCTAGCAATTAGGCGATTATCTTGAAATACATTTTGGCGGATATTCGATTACATCCCTAGACTTCGACAAAATATGAGGTGCTGTTAGAGCGTGGTGTTGCCTCCAAAAACAAACTTGTTTTTTTTATAAGACCGGGTACGTGAACTTAAGTATTAGTTTATCACCCGGGAGGATGGAATGTGGGAAATTTCTTTTTTGTTTGTTTTTGAATAGTTCAATACCGTAAGTAGAGTTCATACATGTAAGGGTCAGCTGCAGTGACCAATCATACGCGCCACCCAGACTTTTTTGGTGGCTGAAATTATCAGGACCTAAGTACGTCCCTGCGATAAGATGGAGTATAAGTGTGGTGTCGTTCCATTTGAAAAGAGCTGTTATGCAGTAAATCTACATGTGATCACTAAAACTGAATTTGGACACAGTGATTATGGAGGCATGTGGCCTAGTGGTTAGGGTTTGTAGCTTCTGATCATGGGGTCAGGGGTTCAAATCCAGCTGGTGGCAGCATGTTGTGATCGTGGGTAAGTTACTTTACCCCTGTGTGCCTCTCTCCACCCAGGAGTAAATGGGTACCTGTGAGGGCAGACACAGTTATGTTTAGCCGTTTACGCTGAAATGGCAGCACCGGGCTAGTTCTCTCCCCAGGGAGCTGAGATGGTTTCAGGAATGTTCATAGATGTGTGAGCCCAATGCGCAGGGATAATAATGAAGCTTTGAAACCTTGTGGAAAACGCATTACAAATTTTGTAAAATTATTATTATTATTAACAAACCATTTCTTTCACAGGGCCCAACAGTAAAGAAACAGACTTGTCTTAGATTATCTCATGATGAGACATCTTGAAGACTGAGCCCTAGTTTTGTGTGATTTTTTTAATGTTCAATGGATGAGTATTTAATGAGCTTGAGGTATTATGAGTTCGATGAGTATTATTACTGGGCTCATTTACAAGAAAAATTGTACCGGTTCAGTCTCTCGAAGGCCTTGATGAGTTTGAACAGTAGGTCATGGCGTTGACGACTCGTAGAAAATGTAGGCATCGTCTCTTCTCAGGACACTTAAGATTAAGAATAAAAAAACACGGCTGATTGCTACTCAATACTTGTCGGAAGGCTGGTCAACATTTTGCGCGTTTGCGTAGATGTGAGTGATGAGTTATCTTAACTCAATTAAATATAAAGAAAAACAGAAAAACAACAAAGACGTCCATTTTCGCTTTGTTAAGGATGAGCTCGGTCAGTCCTCGGTTTGGATTCCGGTGGGTTTTCTCTCACTCTGAAGATGTCCATCCAATAAGTGACAGAAAGTAACGCACGGATGTACATAGCCCCGGTGACTAGACATCGATAGGGGGCCTATGGGTTTCATCAGCGTCGCCCCGGCTGTGTGCCTGATGGCCTTTTTACCATTATCAGTAAATTATCAGAGATTTAGTTGACCTGTCAACATGTGTAAGGAGGTATGGATCATTTGGTCTCTCCACCAAAATAACCCCAGCTAAATGAAACTGCGTGCCGAAAATTGTTGAACGACTTTCCTAATAATTCTGGAACATTTCCATCAAATGTAGATAAGTCTATTGGACAAAGTTTACCGAACAACGTATTTTCTCTTTTGATTTAAGGATGATTTTGACGCTCGGCATAGTACATGTATGTGTTTAAGAAACATGAAATGCATTCACAATGAACATGAAGAGCTGAAGGACACTGTGGAATCGTAAACCTCGCCTCTTCAATTCAAACAGTGGGATTTTTGATATAGTTATAATGAAGAGAAAATAAGAGCGAGCTATTTTCGTGTTGCGTAATGTTATGTAGATTACAAGTCCATCGTAATATCTGATTGTTAGGCTACGGATGCAGCCGTCAACCGCACACTCATCATATTGGGGAAGGGGGAGGAAAGGGATTGGGGCCACTCAGAAATAGATTTCAGTTTCTAGGGCCCTTCACTTACCTTTCCTAACTGATTGCCATTATTTTCCTAGTATTATCTCCAGATTGTGTTCATGTTTCACCGATTCGTGTGGTTGTTGGGGTTGATTTTAGTACAACTAGGAAATTTCAGGTTTTGTAGTAGTCCAGCGATTTTGAAGGAATGTTTGGTGTTTTGTTAATATCTTACCAGACGGGTCTTTTCTTGGGTCATCGCCGTTTGACAAAATCTCAGAACATTTTTTTTCGTTTTACATACACTGTACATGTTATTTGAAAACTTTCTTAGATCTGTTGTTGCATTAGGTTCGATCTTTTGGGTTTATTTTAAGCCTTATAATAATACTTCCCCAAAAAATTGAAACACAGATGAATCAACGGTAGGCTCAGAGTGATCGTAAATTCTAGCATAGAGATAATCTTTTTGAAAAATCGACTGAAAATTGCATACGTCAAATTACACATTTGTTATAGCAGTAAGCGTGCACATAGAAGGAGATTACCAAAAAAATCGGTGCGTCTGCTCATTGGAGTAGATGTACGTGTTCTCACATCCAGGATTATTAATAGACTTGGCCCTTGATGCAAACCATGCGTTAACCAAATACTCGCCTTGACGTCATAGCCTGACGCGGGCGAAGCGAGTACGCAAATTATCTACCGGCTGCTTGCCAGCTGAAGACGGCAATGAGATAGCGCATGTGAACATGCACATACACACCCGCACGCGACCGGCTCGTGGCCGAATATTCTACGCCGCAGAGAGACGGAGCCATCGCCTATCGTAGCTTCTATGTACTCGCCAGACGCGGGTTGACCTCGCGTGCCCGCCCCACTGCACGGCCCGGACCGCATCATCTGAAAAACATCTTACGCCAACGACGTGAATGCATCCCGCGCGCACGAGAAGAGCCTGTTGTCTCGGCTGTTTGTCACATTACCGAGGAGGATTAACTCTGTCCCCCCCCCAACATCTGCTCCTGGAGACAGTGAAATCGGTCAGTTAGACGAAGATGTGTTTAGTGTGACAACCTATGGGCAGAGGTTAGTGCATAATTTTGTGTGGTCTTCTTAACATGGAGACAGTACGATCTTAAAGGGAACTAAATTTTGTACATGAGCTGTATGAATGCCGTATATTCCATACATATTGGGCTGCTTGATAGATTTGTGGTTCTCCATCACCGCACGATAGACACACTGTCGTGGGAAACTCCCTCTCTCCTGCCTGATTCATAATCAGGTCGCTCGTATGTACGCATAGTGTACGGGCGTTTTGGCAAGGTGCGGATATTTATGAGCTCGGATCGCGCCTGAAGATCGATCATTTTGTGATGACTAGAGGAATGTCAACTCGTTACTTAACTTCGGCCATGATGATGAGGGTGATGATAATGTAGTCTGGCGGCCAGGGTTATGCTATGGAAAGAGTGCTTTCTCTGAGCCCGCAGACCAGACCAAGCATTGGGGGATAATGATGAACGCTGTCTCGGTGACTAACCCCGATAACAACAACCTTAGCACGACCAGTGGCAAGATAGGTGGCGCGATCAGCAGTCGAACAGCGGCCGAACAGGCCGGCTTGAACGCTGGGGCAACCAGGGCGGGTGTAGTAGGCGGAGACACGGGCGCGGACTCAGGTACCGGGACAAGTCTGAACATTAACCGCCGAGGATCTGGCAACGCCAAAATGAACTCGCCGGACATTGTGAAGCCGGTGGAAGGAAGCGAGACAGTGGGCAAGAAGACTCTTATCAACGGTAGGGCCAAGAGGCCGTCCTTCTGTCGGATGATGAACGCTAAGAGCCTGAGCGAACTCATGCTCGACGATCACTTCTTGAAGAAACTCTTCGCCTGTTTCACCCCTTTTGAGAAATGTGTCCTGCCCCAGGTGTGCCACAAGTGGAAGGATGTCCTATACCAGCCCCAGTACTGGAAGAACATCGTCCCCATCATCCACAAGAGGGACCTCTACGACGAAACGGAAGACGGTCACAAGACGTTCACCTCCCTGGCCAGCTTCGAGCAGCGGGGCTTTGAGTCGGTGTGCCTGGTCAGCGTCTCCGACTTGGACATCTGCGAGTTCATCGACCACTGCCCCAAGACGAAGAAGACTCTGAAGGCGATCAGCTTGAAGCGCTCCACAGTCACCGACGCCGGTTTGGAGGTGATGCTGGAGCAGCTGGGTTCGGTGGAATCCTTGGAGCTGAGCGGGTGCAACGACTTCACCGAGGCCGGCCTCTGGTCCAGCCTTCAGCCCCGCATAGTCTCCCTCAGCATCAGTGACTGTATCAGCGTGGCGGACGAGAGCGTGGCAGCCGTGGCTCAGCGGCTGCCCAACCTGCGGGAACTCAATCTCCAGGCCTACCACGTCACCGACAGCCTGCTGGCCTACTTCCCTGCTAGGCCCAACAGCAGCCTGGCCAAGCTGCGGCTGAAGTCCTGCTGGGAGCTGACCAACCATGCCGTGGTCAATATCGTCCAGTGCCTGCCGCAGCTGAGCGTCTTGAGCCTGTCCGGGTGCAGTAAGATCACCGACGAGGCAGTGGAGCTGATCGCAGAGAACATGAGTCAGCTGAAATCTCTGGATTTATCCTGGTGTCCGAGAATTACCGATTCCGCTCTGGAATATGTGGCCTGTGATCTTCCCAAGTTAGAGGAACTGGTGCTAGACAGGTAAAAGTCTCATTTAACTTTTCTCAAACTTGGTTTAATAAAGGTAAAGTGTGTCATTCCCGGTATTAATACCACTCTCATTTTGCCTATAACTTGTAGGCCTAGGGGCCAGACTTTACGGAAATATTTTTTGGTTGGTTTTCCATTTACCTCAAATTTGTTCAAAAAGGACATTTGTCCCGTCAATTTGAAATAGCGTCATTTTCATTTAGGATTTAGTAGTACTTGTATTATTATCTGGTGTTCTGATAGCCGAGTGGGATTTTGAACACTTTGTGGGTTATTTTTTTTATTTTTGTACTGTCGGCCAGCCATATGTAGGAAAACCGCGAATGTGACGTCAAAAGAGCAACCCCCGGTGCATTACATGCATTACACGTTTATTGACGTAAAGTTCAAGTTTGCTCGACCAAGGTTAAGGAGTGGCCTGCTTTTATACATGGCTATTATTGCTTTTGATTTAAAATTATTTGAATATAAATATCGTCAGGGTCTATGTCAAGACAAATTTAAGTTATTTCATAGCTCGCCAGTTTCTTCACGACATGAATTATCAGTGTGGTGTTTGAGTAGCCCGAAAGTCTCACTGCGATTGATATGCAAATTAGCTATTTCTAAAAAAATACTTAATAGCTACGGACGTGTATTATTTTTGGTTGTAGTACTCATGAACGTCTTGAAAATATGCATCCTAAACATCTCTACGTGTTACGGACTCTGAAGTTAAAGTGCTTAATTTCTTTTCTTTTTTTTCAAATTGCAGTATTTTGAAAATCTAGCGGAAAAGTTGTTTTTGAAAAGCGTAAAAGTACGAAACTAGATTCTTTGCACGTTTGAAGAATTTGCTCTGGAGTTCGGTAATCCGATCCCTGTCCCCCCAATATCAGCACTCTAGTCAGGCATATTTTTTTTTCTCCGCCCAAGGCAGCCAGATACAATTCTTTCTGACGGTTCTTCTCACCTGTCCATGTCGAAGGAACCTTATCCCGCGCGAAAACATCACCGTCGGCAAGAATAACAGGCTTTCGTGCCAACGACTTGCGCACGAGACTCCCAAATTGCGTGTGTGTGTGTGTGCGGGGATGAGGTGGTGCCTTCAAAATTGAATTACCACTTTCAAGAGAAACACAGTCTCTTGTCAGTCTGGGTGGCGTTTGCGCGCGTGCCTGCGGCCCCTGATGGCTACATTCAGAATGCTGTTAACATGAATCCCCCAAACCTCATTCCATTCCCTCAAAGAACAATATTGATTGGAGGATGTTGCTGGACTGAGTCCCTGGAAACCCCTACGTCACGCAGTGATACTCATGAGTGACGCCAGATACTGCCAACAGTGTTTGGTTACAACTTGTTGCCACGCTCGCCCACGACAGTTGCTTGGTAGACTGTCTCGACGCATTTGGTATATTCATCTGGAGTCTGTCATGATGTGGGAGACGCACGTGTGTCATTGTTGGTTTATGCACATGCAGAATCAGTCAGTGAGATAATCATTTCAAGTCGTAACCAACAATGCAGCTCCACAGCATAGGACAGGACTCCAGTCTAACATCCATCTGGGACGCTTGACACTGAGAATGTTTGTCTTGCTTGAGACGATGTGAAGGCACGAACGCATATAATAACAAAAGCAATGTATGTGACGATTCCGGGGACAGTTCTAGGGTGAGATATCACCTCCCTCTATATATATCCATAGTCTGTTTTGCCAATAAAATAGGCTTGGCAGTAAGCAGCATGATATGAGGACAGTGCCCAGACCCTCAATAACTCACTGTTGTTGTCAAGCAGTTTCCTTTTAAAATAAAAAGATTCAAGAACTGTGTAGTTGGTATAAAAGCGCGCTATAGCAGTTATCTTGATGTATCTTACACGACTTGCATACAGTGTCGACCCCAAATGTTAACTTATCGGCCGGATTTGCAGTGTGTTTAGAGAAAAGAAGAAACAAAAATTTGGGCGCAAAAATCAGATTGTGAAAAGATTGCATTCGTGTGATAGTGTGGGGGGAGTCGGATTGGCAAAGTACTTCTTTCCTCACTTTTCATCTCTGTGGCGATTGGGTTTTCAGTCCCTACCTGAATCCGTGGGTTTTACGCAGAAATTTCTTCCCTGAGGTTTTCTTCTCACCTCTAAAACTATAAGTGTTTCTTACTGTCTCCTGTCTTCTGATTTGCGAAGATGTGGGTCGTTTGGCGGCTGCCTGAGGCGCCCTTGTATGCCAGTGGCTCGACCACGTTTAACGTACAGCGCATATGAACAACATCTGTATGAAAATTGCGTTTTATAAATGAATAAATTATTAAACTATACACTTTACGAAATTTGTACTTATTACATTCTCAGTTTCGAGAAAAAACAAGCAAACCAAATATTGTCGAATTACTCGAGTTGAGCTTGTGGCACTGATCTAAACGTGCAGTACTAACAAACACTTAACACTGATAACCGACTGTTGTTTTCAATCAAGTTTTCCAATAATGAGATCTGAAGGAGAAAAAAACCCCACTTAGTCATCCCTAAGCCAACATTGTCAAGAGGGGTTTCTAAGAATAGAATCTTAATGTATTGACGGCAGGAGACTCGCTGAGGGAGGATGAAGATCTTGATTACAGCCGCGTGGAGCAAGCCGCGACTCGTCTCCCCTTGCCGTGCGCTGCCGTGCTGGCCTCCCGGGACCAGAAGCCAGGATGATCCCGGCGAGATGCGTCGACGGCAAATTGGTAAATGAACACCAAAGCGAGGACGCGAGTTGTTTGTGCTGTCCTCGGTGGTTGACATGGAACGCTATTTTTGGCAGTTCGTTGGCATTTTGACGGACTTCCGTGTCCGAGGAAGCTGCCGTGACTTGACATTGTGTGAGAGATGGTGGCTGTTGCGTTAATTCATCTCACATAGTGATCATGGCTAACAGGACATATTATTTTTTTAGGACTGATACAGCATGAGTTTGTCATAATTTAACAATTGTATAATTTTTTCATACAAAATTGCTTGTAAAATTGTTATACGAGATGTTCGGAACAGGGATTTACTCGGAAACAAAAGAGATTCCACAGTTGTTGGCACTCTTGAAAATCGTTTTCAGAGTGGGATTGTTATGATTTGTAAACTCAGTATACTCTAAAGAATCACACCTCTGTGTTCAGGCGGAAAAAGTTTCTCTCGCATTGTATACACCTTCATAATAACGCCCCCTCCAAACTACAATTTCAGAATAAACAAAACTTGTATCTAAAAATGTCAACCGGGCCACATGCGAAGAACTAAAAATAGGCAGTGTCCCCTTTCTCGTCTAGATGTATCCATTACTACTTGTCATAATTTCAGAAAGTATTCACTGAACGTATCAATCACAGCCCAGGGCATTGTCTTCCCTGACAGATTATGGGTAAACACGACACACGTTTCCTCTTACTCCAGCGACTCTTTTTGATATTGTTCTTGATCAATCATTAACGCGCGCCAGCAACACTCTGTTCTGCTGTCTTCTTTTTTCATCCTCCCGGCGTCCTGACGGATATGGATATGACGGATGCCATGTTTGCTGCAGTTGGCGACCGTCCGAAATGTCACACGTGGTTAAAATGTCACCAGGGTTGACGGCGTCGACCATTCTTTCCAATGGGAAAGGAGCGAGCAAAGGGGAAAAAGGCGTGTACACAAAGCAAGTTCCACTGCCAAGCCCAAATGTAAATGTAAAAGCGCGTTTAATATTATAAGTAACCTCGTGGACTTGGCAGTTTGATGCTACGAGCTGCATATACATGAACGCTGCTTTAAACTTGCATTCTCTTCACGGTTGTACAAGGTCGGAACACAGCCCTCTTGTTTTGGTGTAATTAGCATTTCACAAATATCACGTTGGAGACGACAGTTACGTCGGCCACTAGACATAAAGACCGTGTCTTGTCTTCAAAGAGAGATAATCATGTCACTGTATGTGGCTCCTATCAAAAATGGCGCCAAGCCGCGGTTTCTAATTATTTCATGTGACTGTTACATTCTCACATAGTCAGAGAGGGGCTATCGCCCCCATTGTCTGCATTTGAGATAGGCCTACGCTCGGTCTGAATATACTCCGCAGTACACTATATCATTATAATGACTATTCTGCCCCATGCTAGCATCCCAGTAAAAACGAAAGTCCTCATAATACACGTTTACCAGGTAACTTCAAAAGCGATAAGGACGTTGGATGCAGTGATGGTGGTACTGGAATGGACAGAACGATCGTTTGGACGGTGTATGTTTTGAATCTTGCGTTCAAGGTGTGGCGCGTGGCCGGCACGTGTCGAGGCACCCGACTGTGGTTAACGAGGCGTGCACTTTTACCGCATGGATTATGTTCTTACCGGGGCGAGACTGTTACCACACAAGTTATGGTCTGTAATGCTTTGAAAAGGGTAATCCCTCTTCTGTATGGATTCTTGAGGAATATTTTTGTGTCGTGTTCAATCATGTGTGCGCCCGTAGGCTCTGGAAAAATTGCTTGACGGACTGATGAAATCAGTTTATGTATAAAGCAGGATTAATGATAATTCAAGATTCAAAATGTCCCCGCAAAATTTTATCTATTTCTCCGGCAAGAAACCAACGTGGTAGTAGGTTCCAGATGTTAGTTGCGCAACACTTACTAGGCTTATTGATATTAATATTCGTTATTTCGGTCACGATGTCTGTTTCCCTTTTGTCCATTGCGTTCGATAAAAACACAGTTAACACCTTCATGCGGCAGGCAGTGTTTTCTCACCTGCCAAGGAAATTGCAACTGACTACCACGGTAAAATGTAACCATTCATTTTGGTGACACTCGTGGACGACCAGAGGGGGATAAAACAGCCGTGGGTACCAGTTAGCATCGCGCATGGATTTAGCCCCAAACGCCAGTAAAGCAGGTTTAATGTGGAAACGCCCCCATTGGCAATACTGATGTGTTTACAGCCGACCAGATTGGTCTTTTCTCATGTGCTGTAAAGTCACTCTACCAAGTGAAAATT